AGTCTTGGCCAATCTTGTAAGCGCCCTGGGCCTCCCCCTGCCCCCACTCCGTGACACAGGTAGAGTCAGACTTTCCCCGGGCAGGGCCGTGGTGAGGGCTAAATAAGACAATCAGTGCAAAGGCACCTGGGCCTCGTTCAGCCTGGCACATAGTAGGTGTCAATAAATAGGAATCTGTATTTAGTTGGTTCCGTTTATCTGCGGCTCCCTCTAGCCTATTGTTTCAAGGTCAAACAGTGAAGCGTAGTTTACATGCAGCAGCATCCACTCCTTGGAGAGGTACAGTTCCATAGTTTTGACAAGTGTAGTCATGTAACCGCCATGACAACCATGGTATAGATGTCCAAAGAGCCCCCTCATGCCCGTTTGTCACCCGGGATTGTTTCCTATTTATTCTTAGATTTATCGAGCATTCATTAGATGCCAAGCTCTCAGCTGAGTCTAGACCACAGAAACAAAGATGACAGGTAAATCCATGACCTTGGGGTTTTATAGTCTATGTGCTGATACAAAGAGACAATAAGCAAGTCGATAAACACACCAACAAAATCAGCACAGAGGCAGTGAGTGCTCTGTGACCTAGCAGGGTTACTTGGTAGCTGGTAGCTGGGGGACCATTTCAAGGGGAAGGGCAGGTGCTATTGAGTTGGTGTCTTTGTCCTTTAAAACTCATGACAAATTCTACAAGTTGTAGCTACAATTCCCATTGAATGGACAGGGAATTTGAGGCTCAGGGAGGGTAAGGAAATTGCTCAAGGTCACACAGGAAGTGGATGGGAAAACAGGTCAACAGATTCCAAGCTCACGCCAAAAGCTCCTGCTTTCACACCACACGGCCTGGCCTCTCTCCGGAGCCCGGGCCATCTCTGCTGCAACAGGGCGGGGGTTGGGGGGTGGAGGTAGGGCTGCGAGGTCTGTGTCACCCGCTATTTCATGATCACAACATATTTAAGGGTCCTATAAACAGCCAAGGGCACTGCAGTGAACCCCACTGCTGACTGCACCTCCCTCCTCCTCCTCTAAGTAGGATGTCAGCCTTGTGTCTCAGTCCCTCCCATCCTGGACACGGAGCACTGCAGGGTGCTCCACAGAGACAGCTGATCACCCCCTGCCCCTCCTGACCTCCTCCATCACGTAGACGTAAACCCAGGTCAGGTCATCTCTGATGAGCCTGCACTCTCTCTCTCTCTCAGCCCCCCTTTGTTTCCCTCTGCTCCTCCTCCTTTCCCTCCCTGTAGAGCCTCTCCCTCCCTCCTGCATGCTTGGAGACCAAAGAGCTGTTAATCTTGCTGCCACCATTTCTGCTAAGCTGCACGCTGGTCCACAGGCTCAGGCCTTCCCTCCAGGACTGCCCGAGCGCTCCCTGGAAACCAGGGCTAATTGGTAGAAGATCACAATCATTCCTCCACAGCCTGAATGCTGGGAAGGAGGCTCTGCCAAGCCAAGGCTTCCACCTGGGGGCATCAGTCGCCAGGGAGACGGCTGGGGTTACCTGTCGCCCAGAGGCTGACGTTCAGACCTGCTGTTTCTACCTTGACATGACAGTTTGGGTGATGAGTGAGCACCACCACCCCCCACAACATACACACTCTCTAGTACCACAAACTGCACAGCGCTTGAAAGCATTTGATTAACGTGCTGCATGCTTACTTAATCCTCGTAATTTTGCATAACTATCTTACACAAAGAGAGATCATGCAGGTCTTTTATTCTGAGGGAGTAGGTTATATACCTGCTTCCTTTATGCAAGTGACACGTTCTAGAAAACCTAGGTATCAATGCGATGTTTGCATGTTAAGTAACATTTTAATTTGAACATAGGCAAGGCTTGCAAATTACTGTACGGCAAATCTCTGAACCTCAGTTTCCTCATATGAAAAATGGGCTTAATCATGTATGCCCCAGCTAGCTTACAGGGCTGCTGAGAGACTTGTGGAATGAAATTTTAATTTTGTGGATGTACTTTGTAAGGTTACAAAGCACTTTATTACATCAAAGCAATGTTACTGTTAAAAAGACGATGTAGTTGGCCAAGGAAATGACCACCTCTGAAAAGAAATTCGGTGATAACCCAATTTTCATGTACTCAGTTGGCTGAGATGAAGATTACACTTGTATTGTATGTTTTCCAAATCCAGGCAGGCCAGATGGTGTCTCACTAAGCCTTCTGAGACTTGGGGAGCACTTTGTGGTTGCCTCTGACTTGCTCTCAGCATTAAGGAGTATCCTGTCCAAGAATGTCTATTAAAATCTTAATTTCAGGGCACCAGTTAACCTTGAGACCCCAGGCTATCTCCCGCAGTCCCTCCAATCACTCTGAAACAAGAGCATGAGAATGAAGGAAAACCTCCAGAGCTTCCTTAGGGGTGGCCCCGTGCATTTGGAATGTTCTCCACCCCAAACCCTTGGGATGTCACAAGGCCAGACAGATGTGTGCGGGGTCCCCGCGCCCACCCCTCCCAAGGGAGAAGCGGCTTGCTGCATACAGTTCCTCTCTTCGTACGCACTTGGAGCCAGAACGGAATGACTGCCAGCTGGGAGGGAATTCATTTTATCCCAATAACGCCACCAAGCAGCGAGATTTACGGCACCCACTTCTGGGAAAGCGCTCGGCAGCAGTCAGACGCCTGCCTGCGCCCCAGTCCCCTCGGGACAGCCTGCAGGTGTAGTCACAGCTCAACTCTGAGGCTGTGTGACAAAGGCGATGGAGAGTGTGGTTTACAAATTGTTTTCTGATGCAAGATCAGTGGCAACTGTGTCCTCGCCAAACATTTGAAAGACCTTGAAACACCACTTTTCCTCTCAGAAAAGGACCGGCATCAACTCATCAGTCAATACACTTTAGCTCAGTGTCTCTTCTGGGCAAACCATCGTGTTAGGGAATATGGAGGAGACCCCACCCCACCCCCCAACATATTTCCAACCTAGACCAAGAGCTCTCATCCTAGTTGGAAAAATGAGACTTTCTTGTGGATAAAGATAAGGGCCCAGAAGAGAGCTGGGAGGAAGAAGAAGCTAACAGCACCCAACCCCCTGCTGGGATGGAGACACTTGAATTGTCTTGCCCCCTCTGATTGCTGTCACCACAAGGAAACGCCTTCATCCCATCCTGTTGTCCTGTCGTCATCCTGTTGGTGAGAACGCTGAGAGCACAGAGGTTACCGGACTTGCCCAAGCCCCACAGCTGGTGAGTGGCAATAACGTGTTCGTTCTTGGGAGTGTTAGAGATCTTGCTTTCCAGCCTGTCAGCGGCTCATCTCAAATATACCCCTTTTTTTAAAGTGTTCACCCTTAGTCTGCTTCATTCTGATGGGGCCTGAAAATCAAGGCGAGATTTTTAACTTGACCCCCCTATTGATTTTGTCAGGAGTAAGCTCCCACTTCTGAAGACCAAATCCCGTTTGGCTGTACTTCCTCTGGCTCAGTTCACTTAAGGGGAGGGGGCTGAGGAACTACTAACTCCAGATCCGAAGCTTTGCGGTGCTTTTCTGTGGGTCAACCATAGCTCTGAACAAACCATTGTTCCTGTCCCTTCCACAGCCAGATCTCTGTCTGTTTCCTGGCTGGAGTCTCCCCTCCCCCACTAACATCTTCCCACACTCACTTAGCTTCTCTCTCTTCCCCTCCCCTCACACACACACAAATTCAGACACACCTTCCCACCACACACCCATATGCCAAATAAAATTAGAACTACCGCTGGAATTTGAAGGTATTTAGGGAACAGAGATCTTCAATCAATACAGCCCGAGCTGAGCCCTCTGGGCTCCCTGCCCCCGGCGCCAAGGTGAGAGGCGGCAGAGCCTGTGAGAAGGGCCCGGACAGCTGGACAGCTGTCATCTGGACACTGTGCGGCTCTAACGGGAAAAGGCCACTCGTGCTCCCCTGTGGCCACCCTGTGGCCGCGGCAGCTCACAGGGCCACCAGATTCTCAGAGGTCAACACCTGGCAAGCTGGGCTGTTTCCGCTCTTCTGTAAGACCCTTTCAGAGCCTGAGGTTTCCTGGCCCCCCTTTTCATTGTGAGGTACACGGATGAAATACAGAGAAAACGGTATCTGATGACTCAAACACATAGGCTGAGCTGATAAGCATATGGCCTTCATTTTAAGGGATTGCTCTTGTTTTAATCAACCAGTTGAAAAAGCCAATAAACAGTGATTTATTTATTATGTTTGCCTTCACCCAGAGATGTGGAACAGGGCAGGTGGGGGGCAGGAGGCATGACAGCCCAGGGAACTGAGGTAGTTGAGGGGGGGGCTCCCATATGCCCGCAGTATTTCTAAAGCTCCCTCTGCCTTCCTCACCCGTACCGCCTTTTGACACACACTGGCCGAGTGTGCCCACCTTCTCGGTGCCCCTCAGTACTCACCTCAGAACAGTGAGTTTCAGAAGGAGCACATAGGAATGGGGAGATGGGACAGGGTGCCAGGCAGATGCTCCTGGCTCCAGCTCTGTCTGGATAAGCCCCAACGTTGTCCTCCCTTCGCCCACATGAGAGCTCCTGCTGGGTCTCAGAGTGATACTGGGCTGCGCAGAGGCCGAGAGGGGGTGCATTAGTTCAAATCCAGGCTCTGCCACCACCCCGCTGTGTGACTCCGGGCATGAGACTTAGCGTCTCTGTGTCTCAACCTCCTCATCGGTACAGGGGGGACGGACATCAAGCTTCTGCTGGGCAGATGAACCAAGCTGCCTTATGATAAAGGCTCAGCACAGTGCCCGGTGCTGAAGGCTGATAAACAGTGTCAATAATTATGCACTAATACTCAAATAGTACTTACCATGGGCAGGCCCCGTTTCAGGGCTTTACACATAGTATCACTTAATCCCCACACCTCTGTTTTACAGCAGAGGAAACCGGAATCTGAAGATCACACGGGGGTGAATGGCGGATATGCAGACCCTGGAGACAGGCTCTGGCGTCGGGGTCTCAACCCGTCCGTGACAGTGACGCTGATCTTTATGGCTTTTGCCCCCGCAGGCTGAGCTGTGAGCCCCCCAGGCTTCTCTCTGTCCCAGAGCGGAGAGCAGGGAGAGTGTTCAGCCACAGTGGAAAGGCAAGAGCAGGTGATGGCTACAGCTTCCACACTAGAGCGGAATCAAGATCCCAGGTGGAACCGGTGGCTGAAGTCAGGCAGGGCGCCCCAGCCGGCTCCGAGGGAACTAGGTAAGGGAGGGGTGGGGGGCAAGTCCGCGGCGCCGAGAGGGGTGGCCAGAGCGCCGCCCCCAGAAGGGGAGGAAGGGGTGGCGAGGGCTGGGGGGTGGGGGGGTACCCAGCTGCCATACCCGCCGCTTCCTGGCCCCCACTCGCCGGCGCCCAAGTGGGAGGACCACAGCTGCCCGCTCCCTTTCCACACCCCCGCTACCTGCCCAGTCCCCGAAGCGAATCGTGAGGAGGCTCTGAGCCAGCGGGGCCGAGCCCACAACTTTGCAGCTTCGGGGAGGGCGAGAGTCGGCGTCCAGGGCTCCTCTTATCCGCGACTAGAGCTGGGTGAGCTCCTTTCCCCACCCCTCTGCGGCGGTGCGGCGGCGGCGGCGCAGGGGGCGGCTTCCCCGGCGTCCGGGAGGCGGTGGCCGAGAAGCCCGCGGCGGCCGCCCGCGCTGTCTGCCTCCCTGGGGTTCCGGCCGTGCCTCCCGCCGCGGGCGAGGCCGGCGCCAGTGCTGAACGGACAGCTCCCCTCGTCCTCGGGCCGCACCCGCGGTCTCCGTCGTCTCTCCTCCCGCGCAGGGCCCCGGCCGCAGCCGCCCGCCCAGCGCGGCTCACTCCCCCAGCCCCAGCCCCAGCCCTTCGCCTTCCAGGCGCCGCGGCGCATCTGGAGGCTGCTCCTGCGCCCCCCTGGCGACCGGCGTGGGGAAGACACTTGCTTCCCCGGAGCCCGGGGCCGAGGGCTCTCTCTGGGGTGGACAGCGCCGCTGCAGCCCCAGGGAGCGCGTGGCCAGAGGCAGGGCCGGGCCCCCAGCGACCACCCCTGAAGGTGCCTTGGGCTGGGCCCCTGCCGCGGAGAGAGGCCCGCGGCTCCCAGGGCGGCTGCGGGTCCCCGCGAGCACTGGCACCTGCAGAGGGGACTCCAAGGTGATGCTGGGTCGCCCAATTGGACGGGACAGCCTGGACGCAGGCCCTGTGGCATTTGCCCACCCAGGGTGCAGCAGCCTTCCCAGAAGTTTTCTCGCGCCTCGGGCTCTCCTCTCCTTAGCCCCTAGAAAAGTTCTCTTGGGCGCCCAGAATCCTGTTTCCCGGTGGCCTCCGACGCTGGGCAGGAACCCGGGCTGGGGGGAGGGGAGGGGGCGGGAGGAGTGGGGATGCGGCCGGGGGCTGCGCTCGGCCCCGGGGGTCGATCAGCAGAAAGGCTGGCGGAGCACTTACTCCCGAGCCCAGGGCGGGCTTGTTGGTACCGAAAGGGTTTCGGCGCCATCGGCGTTGTTTGGGTTTCTAGCTCCAGGAGGGCGGGAGGCGGGTGCGAAGGGGGGATTTTAATATCGTCGCCTCAAATGAAAATGCTCTTTGCAAAGAAATAGCCGGGGCTGCCGGCGTGGAGAGGTGGGCTGACCAAGACCGGCTGACACAGGTATTCCAGCTGCCCCCACCCCACCCCACTCGGTGCCTGAGCGCGTGTGTGAATGTATCGATTGCTTTAATTGATTTTTTTAAAAGGCAGGTGGCAGCGGCTGCTCGTGTGTACACAGATATACACATACACAAACACAGACACCCAGACACACATAGATTACACGTACAGAGTCACACAGGAAACACCCCCCCACACACACACACACATCACGGACCCACAAACACACATACCTCCAAAGAGTCTTAGGTTACCGGTGAGGTCCCTGAGTATTGCCCAAGATGGGGTGGGGGCGGCGGCTGAGAAAGGGGAGGTGAAGCAGGACTTCCATCGTTTGCCTCAGTCCCCACCCCAAAGCCTGTCCTTCTCCTCCTGGGGGGTCTGGAGGAGAAACCCCAAACCCGGGCTCTTTTCCGCTGCAGTAAAGGAGCGGCGCCCTAACCCCTACCCCCATCCGTTGCAGACTGCGCACAGGCCCAGCCTCATTCGCCTTGTGCCCGGCTCCGGGGCGCCCGGGGGTTGCCCAAGTCGCTCAAAAGCCGAGGGAGCGGGCACCGGGAAGTACAGCCCGACCCCCGGAGGCCGTTGTGGTCTCGGGGTCGCATGCCCGCTCGGCCCGGGTTAGGAAAAGAGGAGGGTTGATCGAGGAACAGGGACCCGAGAGCGAGGATGTGCGTGGAGCGGGACCGACAGACAGCGCCGGAGGAGCACCCTAGGGCGCCCCCTAGACACCGCAGTAAGTCTTGCTCTCACCCTAGGCCCCTTAGGAATGTAATCGAAGATGCTGGCCCTGAGGCTGCTCAACGTGGTGGCCCCCGCCTATTTCCTGTGCATCTCCCTGGTGACCTTCGTGCTGCAGCTCTTCCTCTTCCTGCCCAGCATGCGCGAGGACCCCGCCGCCGCCCCCCTCTTCTCGCCCGCGCTGCTCCACGGGGCACTCTTCCTGTTCCTCTCAACCAACGCCCTGGGCAATTACGTCCTGGTCATCCAGAACTCCCCCGACGACCTGGACGCCGGCCAGGGGACCTCCTCCAGGAGGGCTCCGTGCCCCCCGCCCAGCACCCACTTCTGCCGAGTGTGCGCCAGAGTCACCCTGAGGCACGACCACCACTGTTTCTTCACCGGCAACTGCATTGGCAGCAGGAACATGCGCAACTTCGTCCTGTTCTGCCTCTACACCTCCCTGGCCTGCCTCTACTCCATGGTGGCGGGCGTGGCCTACATCTCCGCAGTCCTTTCCATCTCCTTCGCCCACCCCCTGGCCTTCCTCACGCTCCTTCCCACCTCCATCAGCCAGTTCTTCTCTGGTGAGTGGGCCTTGAGAGGCAGGTTGGGGCCTGTGCAAAGACCCCCCCCCACCCCAACCCCAAGTTTGCCAGATTTAGAAAACAAACAAATCCAGAATGCCCAATTAAATGATAAATTCGGATAAACAACGCATACCTTTTTAGTGAATAAGTATCTCCTAAATACTGCATGAGACATATGGAAAACATCTGCTGTTGCCTATCTGAAATGCAGTTTAACTGGACATGTCGCAGTTTGCCCGGTAACCTCTCGTCCTGCCCCATCCTCATCACTTCCTCCTTGCTCACCACTGTCCATTTGCTCATAGCATCATGGTGATCCAGGCAATACACTGGCTCTGTGCCAGGCGGGCTGGGTGCTGGCCATCCTTCCATCCTTCCATGCAGCCTGGGAGGTACACCCATGCCATGACCTCCCTCTGCCCAGGCCCCGGGACCTGCTCACAGGCCACCCCAAGGCCTTTGCCCTCCAAAGGTCTTGCCAGCCCACCACAGTAAGGTCCACAGGGTGCCAGGCCAGCCCCAGCAGGAGACTAAGCTCTGCCCTCCTGCCCATTGTGGTTGACCCCTCCCAGGCGGCTGAGGTCTGAAGATGCGTTGGAGCAGGGGGCGGCTTGGTTGGGGATGCAGCCATGGATGACGGCTCCATCCTCACATGACAGAGTCACCGCACTGGTGTGGGATTTGTGCCTCCAGGAGGTCCTCACATGGGCAGGGGCCAGACGTGAGGGGCTTCGCTGAGGTGCTCAGCGGGGCACCCTGGGGAGGGCTGTATATAGTGTACCCAAGAACAGCTCCCTGGTACCTGGCCCAGAGGGACCCAGTGGCAGTTCTTACCACTTTACCTGGCCTTGAAATCTGTCCCTTCTCATTTCCTTCCTCTCCACCCCTACCCTGGCCTTGGACTCGGATTGGCTTGGTTCTTACAACTGATAGTGTGCACCTGTGTATGTGTGACATCGTTACCTCCCTTTCTCAGATGAAGAAACTGAGGCTCAGATGGGATTAACTGGCTTGCCCAGGATCTTCCTACTCCTGCAAGGCAGCCCCTTGCCTGCCCCTCCCCCCTCCAGCAGCAGAAGGAATACAACCCATTTCCTCACCCACTGGCATTTCAGGGACAAAGAGAGCATGCGGCTACTGCCACTGAGAACCCAGGGTTTTCTTGATGTGCCTGGGCTGGACATTCATAAACATTCTGCTCCACTCCGGAGGCAGCCATCATTTCAGTCTTTGCAGGCACAGAACCATTGTGCCATTTGGCAGTGGGAACACAGAGACACAGGGAGGACCCAGCTGGGGGGTTGCCGTGAGGTCTGGTGGCTGGGCTGAGCCCAGAACTCCGCTCTCGGGCCTTCTGGATTCCGACGCTGGCATAGGAGGCTGCTGGGACTGAAATAACCAGGAGGAGGAAGGGTAGGTGGGCGGGCTAGGGGGTGGAGTGTGAGCACAGGCAGGTGGAGGGAAGAGGAGAGCCAGACAACCTAATTACACTTCTTTTCCAAGTGGTTTTATCACATAAAACTGGGTGGTTCCAAAGGGAGGGCCTTGAAATGGTTGCATCTGAGATAAGCCCAGGCTTGAGGCCTATCCACACGTGCGAGGTTCGGGAGGCAGGGAAGAAAGGAAGAAGGGTCTATTTCTCCGATCTGACCGGAGCACTGAGCCAGTAAGCGCCTGCCTGGAGGCCGGGTCCCTACTGCCGCAGAAGGATGAGCGCCGTTTTCGTCTACCCCCTCGCCGTCCCCAGCAGGAAAAGAAGGCCAAGATTTCTCATCTCCAGCTCTCCCATCGTGTCTTCCTCTGTTGCCAACCTTCCACCATTCCCCTTGCCAGTCCTCATCCCCCCCTCCCCAGCACATGCCCCCCCACCTCTTCTGCGCCTCCCTCCCTATCTCTCCCCACCCTCCTCGATTCTCAGCCCAGGTGGCTGAGGCCGCTGCCTATCTCCTCCGCTCAGGAGCACAGGAGGGAGTCAGAAGGCCCAAGTTCTTTGCCAAATTGAGCTCTTAGTTCCCAACTGTGGTGCTTTTTGTCCCCGACTGTGGCACTGTCACTGAGTCATATCTGCCACCAGAACACGGGATGGCTGGGGGTGTGGGCCCTGTGCGTTAGAAGTGGAGGGGGTCTTGTGGTGGCTGCTGCCCATGGGCCTTTAGCAGATGCTAAAGAGGTAGGAGGCTGGCCAGGTGGATTTTAGAAGCTGTCTTTTCTTTGGTCTTCGTGCAATCTGTACAGGTTGTGTCACCTCTCTGAGCCTCATTTTTCTCACCTAGGAAAAGGAGATGATGCCATTGGACCTGTGTCATGGCATTTGTATAAGTATGCCAGCATGGCAGATGCCCTCAGAATGTCCAGTAGAAGGGAAAGGAGATTAATGTATGTTGAGCACCTATTATGTGCTACCCACTGTACAGGTCTCATTTCATTTAATCCTCACCGCAAGTCAGTGAGGTAAGGATTATCATCTCCATTTCAAAAGCTCAGGAACCAAGGGGTCAGCGAGGTTAAGTTGCTTTGAGGCCGCACAGAGAGCATGATTCCAAACCCAAAATTTGGACTCAGGGTTACCAGCCTCCAGAGCTCATACTCCGTCTCCTCCACCACACTGCCTCTCTAAAACTGCTTCTGGAGGAATGAGCCATTTTGGAAGTGAGGGAGCTTCTTGTCCCTGAGTGTGTATTAACGATGCTAGGCAATGACCTGTCTAAGGTGTCATAAATGCTTGGCAGGAAGCAGGGAGGGAGAGATTGAATGGTGTGACCATTCAGGTCGTTTAGAAAAACTGTGATTTTTCTAGAAGAAACAGAACTATTATTAGATAGTTGAAAGAGCCAAAGCAGCTGGGTTAGGCAACTTCAAACATTTCAAGAAAAAGCAGGTCCCCAGAAGAGCTTTTGGTAGCTGCCGCAAGGGGCCAGGAGAAGGCCACAAGGTCTCTTCCACATGCCTTGATTTAGTGCCAGAAAAAAAGCTCTTGGAAAACAGCTTGCATTAGCCCAGGCTTGTCCCTGCGGCTGAGATGCAAGGCAGGCCCGCGCCTGACAGCTCTGATGCCCTCACACCCCAGCTCGAGGGCCATCATGGCCTGTCAGTACCCCTGGAGCCCAACAGGAGCCAGGTTCCCTGGACCCTTCATCTCACGTGGGGCCGCCTGAGCTAACCTGTGCTGACAGGAAGAAGTGGGTCGGAGGGACGGCACAGCCTAGTGTGAGGCCTGTCCTGCTGCTGCCCCCAGCCAGCTGACGGGGCCCTCAAAATGCCAGCTGGAATGAGCTCTCCGTCCCCTGGGCAGATGGATTTATTTTTCTCCAACTTTGCAAATAGAAACCTGCTATCAAAGCTCGTAGGGCTGAAGGCAAGAGGAGGCTGCTAATGAGCAATCCCGAGCCAGGCCCGCATCCTCCTGGTGGCTGAGAACGCCACTGCTCAGGCTGGACACGTTTGAAAAGCCCAACCCTCAGGGGCCTGAAAATCGGAGCCTGGGAGACCGGGGAAGAGGTACACCGGGGCCAGGGGATGCTGGCGAAGGGAGGGACATGGCTGATGTTTTCAGAGGTCAGATAGGTGGTAAGGGCAGGTCTGGAGCAGGCACCTCATCACCCTGGAGGAGGTGGCGGTGGGCGTGCCCTGCAGGACAAGACAGGCTGAGAAGGGCTCTCAGATTCTCTCCTGGGTCCACCGCCCTGGCTGCTGGGTGGGACAAGGTAGGTGCCTGTGAGCCCTGGGATGGTCTAAGGCATTGAAGTTGAGAACGTTTGGGGCATAGTCTCCTCATCTGTGAATGGGCCTCAGCAGGGAGCACCGCGCTGAGTGTGAACCGGCCACTGTGCACACACTCTTTCTGAATCATGCGGCCCTATGGGACCAGTTCACAGATGAGCAAACTACAGCTCAGAGAGGTTCAGAGACTTGTGCGAGACCACAGAGCTGGGAGATTTGAACTTAGCCTGGGCTGACCACCCCAGCTCTGAAGAAGAGTGTGGAATCTCTCAGTGAATGTTTAAAAACTAGTAACAGAGAAAACTTGTCTAGAGGAGATTACAAGAGGTTCTGCCCAAGGCAAGGGGCTGGACTAGTGACCTTGGGGGCCTCCTTCCTCCTCAGCAAGCTCTGATTGACGGGACATGTTCTGGTGGCCCAGTGTCCCCTTGTTAACATTAATGACTAAAATATTCTCTAATTCAGAGCTCTGCGCTGCCCTGGGAGCCTGGGACCTGTTCGCCTTGATGACTAGACACCGCTCTCCATCATGCTGTCACTTTCCTGAGTGCCCCCCCCCCCCGCCCGCCATGCTTCCAGCTCCACAGGGAGAAGATGCTTCAGTCTAGACAGCTGCCCGGGCGCCAGCTCCCTCTCTAGGATCCTCAGCTCACCCCTCTTGCCTCCTGAGAAAAAAACCCCTCTCCCTGATTCCAGAGCAGAAAGGGAAGGCAGAAAGACAGGCATGTCTGGTTCAGGGCACGTTTGAGTCTAGGTTCTACCCAAAGAAGCATCCTTCCCGACATCCATTTCTGGCCTGGGGAGTCAGTCATCAGCGCTAAGAAAAAGTTGGGACAACTAGTTATTCTTTCTCTCCCTCGCTGCAGCGCTGAGATTGCTATAAAATGTAGCTTCGGTCTCATCCGTCTCCCCCCCTTCGCAGCGGAAAGCGCCCGCAGAGCCGGCAGGCCGGTACGTGGCCTGGGTGTAAAGCGATTCTGTGTTTCCCCGCCCCCTCCCCTGCAGGAGCTGTCCTCGGTTCTGAAATGTTCGTCATCCTCATGCTCTACCTCTGGTTCGCCATCGGCCTGGCCTGCGCCGGCTTCTGCTGCCACCAGCTGCTGTTGATCCTGCGGGGTCAGACCCGCCACCAGGTGCGGAAGGGGGTAGCCGTGAGGGCCCGGCCGTGGCGCAAGAACTTACAGGAGGTGTTCGGGAAGAGGTGGCTGCTGGGTCTGCTGGTCCCCATGTTCAATGTGGGCAGTGAGAGCTCCAAGCAGCGGGACAAGTAGCGGGCACTCCCAGCATTTCTCTTTCTGTGTCTTGACTCCTCCTGAGCATACGACCATGGTACCCTTGTCTCCACCCATGACCCACTACAACCTATGGCTGGGGATGTCCTAACATCCACCCCCCACTGGGCCACATAGAGAAAAACGTTGGCTGGTGGATCGCGACAAGGAGGAAAATGAGGTCCCCAGCCATTTTTGCCCTCCCCACAGGCCAGCCAGGTGGCTGTCAGGAGGCCGCTGCTCTGGTTTCTTTTCCTCGGGTCGGTCCCTGCCTTGCCCTTCGGCCAGCCTATCGGCCCCCTACCATGCCCCCTGGCATCACTGCCATGGGCTAGAGCTCCTCCTCTCAGCCCCATGTTGGGAGTGCGGAGTGAATCCTTGCTGCTAGGAGCCTGCTCCCTGGGACCTGGAGGCTGGCAAAGATGTTTAAAATTACAAAATGTTTAAAATGACCAAGTCTGCTGTGCCAACTGCCAGGAAGGTTGGGAAGGTGGGGGGAGTGTCCTTGTCCCCTCTGTGGAATTGTGGGCGATGGGAAGGAGAAAGCACTCAGTACCCAGCACCCAGGCCGTGGGGTTGTGTGTGAGTGCCGCTAGCCTGGAGGTTTCCCGGCAGGGGCTCGGCAGGCACGCCATGGAGAGACTCTCTGCACAGGGTCAGGAGAGGGAAGGTCTCTTCCCATCCCAAGGTTCTGGAGTCCTCTCTGTGATTGCCAGGCCCAGGGGCAGCGTCTCTAGGGGTGCCTGTGAGCCGTGTGCTTTCGTGCAGGGTAGACCGGGCATGGAGGAGTCTGAAAATCACGATGCAAACTTTTAGGACCCCACCCAGCCACTCAGGAGAGTCTCTGGAGGGAGAAAGTCTACCTGGGTTTTAATGCTAGTGAAAGGGGTTGGCATTTGAGGACAGAGAGATGGAGCAGGTCAGAGGCAGGTGGGGACAGTGGTGGGGAGAGCAGAGCTGGAAGGTCATGCTCAACTCAGAAGGGTGAGATTTGGAGCGTTGAAGCTGTGGAAGGGGGAGGCCAGAGGAGGGGTGCAACGGCCAGCCCAGCCCTGTTTATCTGACTGGATCTGAACAGGGACACAGCTGTACGTTCTGACATACGAGGGAGTGGGAACAACACATGTGTCCCCTCCTGACTGGGTCTCGGGGTCAGTCAGCCATCCATGCAGGCAGCAGGGCTGAAACCCACACTCCACAGTGTCCAGCTGGTGGCCGTGGCCACCCCAGTTGTTGCCACACATCACCCTGCGGTCTTGAGCAGAGCTTGGAAGGACTTTCCCTTGGTCCTGCTTCATGCCCCCTAGAGGACTACCATAGTAATGACTCCACCCCATTAAACTCCCTCCCCTCTTCCTTCATTCGTGAGCCCTACACGTGCTTATCTATTTAGTGCCAGCTAAGTGCTCTTCTGGGCACCGACACACAGTGGTGATCAAGACAATGAGATTCCTGCCATCGGGGGCATCTCGTCACTGCCCCCATGCACTGCCTTCCACCCCCTGAAAAATGGTACCTCTGCCATCTTGGTGGTCAGCAGGGCAGGTCGTGTGGAGGGAAAGGATGGGGCAGAAAGGGCTGAAGGAGAGCCCAGGCTGCCTGGATGGAGGAGTCACTGGGGGGCATCCCCACCCAGCCCTGGCCATGCTTAGGTGGTGGGAGTGGAAGGGTGGGGGAGAGGCCCTGGGTGAGCCAGGCCTCGGCTCTCTGTGGACTGCAAAGCTCCAGCCTGGGAGCCAGCAGAGCCATTCGCAGCCTCCTGGAGCCTCAGCCCTGTGAGGCCGGGCACTGGGGGAGGGGCCAGAGGGAGACCTGCAGGGGATTGGCTCTGGCAGACTGGGCAGTGTGTGTGTGTGTGGGGGGGGGGTGATGGGGGGGAGGTTGCCAGGTGTGGGACTTGAGTAGCGTTTGTATACATGGCCCTGTATTGTCGATAAAGAACATCAATAAAATATGTGGTTTTTAAATTGGATTTGATGTGATCACATGGGTACTGTGGTTGGTAGCAGGGCCGCAATGCACTGATGCAGTCATACCAGCTGTTAAAATATTTAAGGTAAGTATCAAAAATACTTCTGCCTAAGTAGGTACATCATCTTTGTCTAGACTGCTGCTGCCTCGGATGCTCCTGCTCCTCCCCTGGGGCCCTGGCTCACCCCACAGTCTGGTGATTAAAAGGGCATCTGTGTGGGACCCCCGGGCCCCTGCCCCAGACTTTCAGCAGCATCCACTGTGATGGGTCAGGGTTGTGCAGTGTGGCTGAGAAGCGCGTGGATGTCAGCCCTGGTCGGCAGCAGGTCTACAGTGCCGGGGTCTGTGAGCCCATGGGACCGGGGGTGACTGGTTGACCCGGGGACTGACTTCCTCTTCTCCCACTTCCCCCTCCTCCCACCTCTCTCCATGTCGGAGGACAGGGCGGGGGAGAATGAAGAGGCCACCTGCTCCCCCAACACAGCCAGAGATGACCACCCCTGAGGATCAGCCAGGGCCCCTGCCCTCTCAGCCCCTACCTACCACACCTGGAGACCTTGGGCTGCCCAGCCCTAGATTTCAGGGAGTGGAGCCTTGGCAGCCGGACTGGAAATGGGAGGGACCCAGTAAGAGGCATTCTCGAGGATCTGAGTGTGCTGGGACCAGGGTCTGGGTGGGAACGCTGGCTGTGGGTTGGGTCAGGAGCAGAAGGTGAAAGAGTCCCTTCACTGACAGGGAGCGTGACCGGTGGGGTGCTGGGGTGGGGGCCCAAGGTGGTTCTGAGTGTTGAGACAGAGCGATCAGGGTGACCTCAAAGGACAGGCCCTCAGGAGCACTGCAGTGGGGAGGAGACCATGACCCTGGGGTTCAGGGCCACCCGAGCATTCTCCTCTGTCATTGGTTCATTAGTTGCCAGGTGACGGCATCATTCTGAACCAACACTCTGCAGCTTTACCAGGAGGGAGGGGTTCAGGGCGATCAGCATGTTGACCTTTGCTGCACAGCTCTCTGACCCCCCAAGCTGAACGGAACCATCTGCCTGTGGCCACAGAGATCACGGGTCCTCTGGCCACACACCCTGCAGCAAATGGAATGAAACGCTGGGCTCCCCAGTGCCTTCATATTCCCATCTGGACAGTGGGCACTCTGCTTTGGCCCTGTCCTAGTGTCAGATTAGGCTGGCTCGAGGGGACCTCAGCCACACCCTCCTCTGCTATGATGAAGCCAGTCCGTAGGTCCCAGTGGCCTCTTTTTAGCAAGTCTCTTTCCCCTAGAATATGGTTGTCCTTGTCACTTTATGCATTTGGTCCTCTAAGTGCCCTGGCCCCTGTGCCCTCCAGCTGGGCTCACTGCTCCCCTTATCCCCCTCCGGCCCTGTCTCTGGGCACGCTCTCAGGGAGGCAGCCCCTCCTGCCGGGGAAAAAGGAGGGCATGGGCAGGGAGCAAGGATGCTGTGTCCTGCACTGCCTGAGATGGCTTAGAGGGGCGGCAGAACCTTGGACCCGGTCACCCGCCAGGGCGAGCCTTCTGGAGGGGCAGGGGCCGTCTGGAGAGCCCGGCTGCCTCGACGTCGGCCTCTGCCTCTGCCCTCGTTCCTCTCTGTGGGTGGTGCTGGCCCAGCTCCTCTGTTCATTCCTCAAACATTCACTGATGCTGACTGGATGCCAGGCCTGATGCCAAGAACCAGGAATTCAGAGATGAAGGAGACCTATTGCCTGCCCTCGGGGAGCCCATGGGGGAAAGGACCAGTTGCAGAGGGTGTGGTTCAGTGGCTGCTGGGAGGGAGAAGAACGGGGAGCTACGGAAGCCCAGAGGAGAGCGCTCACTTGGCTGAGGGTAGGCTGGAAGACTTCCCAGAGGAGGAGCCGCTGGGGTCATGGAGGAGGAATAGGAGTTGGCCAGACGGAAAAGCGGGGCCATGGGTGGGAGTGGGGGCAGGAGAGACTGGGCCGAGGCGGGGACGGCAGGCGGTTTCTGGGACTGCAAGTCTCATTTAGGAGTGGTGGGCACATGAGTACACCTGCTGAGCCACACTGCCCGTGACCCCTGCCTCCCCCTCCTCACCACTTCTCACGAAACCCTGACTCACCCTCGATCAAGGTGGTTCCTCTTGGATAAGTCAAGCACAGACTGACGTTTAGTTTTTCTAATGGTCAGCAGTGTTCTCCAGGTCAGAGACCACAGGCAGGGGTCATGTTCATTCCCCAGGGAATCAGCCTGGGGACATCAGCGACCCCTAGACCTCTCTCTCTCTCTGGGTCCCGAGACTGGCCTCTGGGAGCTCCCTGTCTGTCCTTCCTTCCCACACCGCTTCAGTAAATGGGGTTGGAAGGAAACTGTTTCTACCAAGACGACTTCCAGGAGATAAAGTCGAGCCAAAAGGCGGAAGACTCTGAAACATGGGGATAACACTTCACACTGCACAGTCCCCCACCCCAACTGGGGAGGCCTCTGCACCCAGGTGGGCACCTGCAGCCCCATAACCTGGTGGCCTGACATACCTCTTCCTTCAGCCTCGGCCCGTCCAGGCCCTCTCCATCCCACGTCCCACGTCCCACAGGGCCCTGTCTCCCAGGTTCAGCCCCTGGGGGAGTCTTCCCTGCACTTAGCCCCAGCCCATTGCTCTGACTGCCTCCCTCCTGCGAGGGTTCTGTCTCTCTGCTCTGCTGTAAACCTTGGCGGGCAAGCAAGGCGACGGCGGACTCCTCTGGTTTCTCCCATGCCCAGCACCAAGTGTAGGGCACAGTGTTGTCACTGTAATTCATCCACAAGTAGTAAAGACCAACATTTACTGAACTCCCTCCATGCCAGGCCCCTGTCATGCACACATTTTACCTGTAGGAATTATTTAGCCTCATAGCAATCCTTGTGGTATGCTTTGTTACTCCCCCCACTTTCCAGGTAAAGAAACAGAGGCATGGACAGGTTCTGTAACTTGCCCAGAGCCTCCTGGCTAGTAATCCGCAGAGCTGGGGTTCAAACCCAGGCTGCCTGCTTCCGGGGTTATCCTTTGAACGCAGACCCTACACTTTCTTTCTATTGTGGACTATTGTAGACACCCAATCAATTTCCGCTGAAACGTTACAAGGGGTTGAGTTTTTATTCATTCAGCCACTGATTGATTCATTCATTCAAGATGCTTCCTGAGCACCTGCTCTGCAGTGGGCACTAGGGGGTACAGAGAAAGGAACTAGGCTCAGCCTCCGCAGCCTTCCCAGAGCTGCTGAGGGTGACTCTGCAGATGAGAAGAGGCTGGCTTCAGGGTGTACACGGAGTGTCTGGCCCCTCTGGGGCTGATGATAATGGGCAAGTTGCCTTGCATGCAGCGGTCTCTTTCAGAGCTTTATCGTGGAGGTCCGAGGACAGTCCAGGCTGGGACCCTACCCCAGCGCTCAGGGAAGATGCGCAGCCAGGGAACAAGACTGGAGCTATTTCTGGGCTGCTGCTCACCCAGGCAGTGTCCGGGCACCTGCAGGAGGGGACCAGACGCTGTCAGAGGGCTGAGTACAGCCACCCCCCAGAACCGGGATGGGGCACTGAAGAGC